AACTATTCAAGCAATAAGACAGTGGAATGAAATTTTTTAAGCTGCAATTCTACTTTTAATTGTTTTAAATTATATCATGACTTGATTTTTGTGGTACTGGAAATATTTTAGATGTTAAAAGAACCCCCACCAAATCTATAATTGGAGGTATAGTAAATTATCCTTCAGGCAAAATAGACTTTCTCCAACATGTACACACTGAGTAGGGATGGTAATGTAGATCAGGGTTAAAGTGCTTTTCTTTTTAGATCTTGTATTTTATTTATTTATTTATTTATTTATTTCAGAAATTGTTTTATTTTTCATCAGCCTCATTCCCATTTTGCTTAAGTGTCAGCAGAACAGCTCAAGACCACTCGGTGGGGGTTTTTACCCACTCAATGGCCTGTGCGGTGGGGGCTGCAGACCAATCTTCTGTGGCCGGCTAAGCACTCCAGTCTTCAGTAGAGAACTGCTGAATGGGCACAGGGAGCACTTGCATGCCCTCAGACCAGTCTGCGACCTCAGGCTGAGCAGCAATAAACTCTGGAGCTGGTGCAGTCCATTCACCCTGAAATTCCTCCTTGGTCACAGCCTTTACAGCAGCAGCCTGCTCTTCCTTTTCAATCTCTTCAGGATTCCAGTAAAAGTAGAGATCAGGCATGACTTCCCATGGGTGTTCACCAGAGATGGTGCCACGCATGGCAGCACTTCCCGGGCCAGCACTCACCACATCAGACCCATAGAGTGAGCTCCCTTATTGTTACATGGGATGGCAATGTCCACACAGCGCAGAGGAGAATCACATATTCAAAGCCCTAAGTTAGATCCCTATCATCACCCCTGCAAATTACACCATGGAGACTCATTACCATCTTATCTGCCATGGAAGAAATGTTGAGGGGCCAGGAAGATGGCTCAGTGGAATAAGCACTTCCCTGGCAAGTGTAAGGGCCTGAGTTCAATCCCCAGTTCCGCAAAAAGAAGAAGAAGAAGAAGAAGAAGAAGAAGAAGAAGAAGAAGAAGAAGAAGAAGAAGAAGAAGAAGAAGGAGAAGAAGAAGAAGGAGAAGAAGAAGAAATGTTGAAAAAAGCTCCTCAGAAATAAAGAAAATAATATTGGTAAAAAACTTGGGTCTACATAAAGAAAGAAAGGCTGTCGTAGAAGAAATACACTTCAAATGTTTTAATATTTTTTTAATTTACGATGGGGTCTACAGGGTCTCACTACACAGATAGGACTCATAATGATTCTCCTGTGTTCAGCCTCCCAAGTGCTGGGATTACAGGTATGCCCCACCACACCCAGTCTCAATCACTGTCTCAGTGTACCCCGCAGGCAGAGTCGGCACGGCATGCTGGGGATCGAACCTGGCCACTACACTCTGTCTAAGCAGGCGCTTTAGTTTACTGAGCTATCAGGCCAGCTCTTTGTTTTAATATTTTCTGCATTAGTTATGCCAAACTAATTTTATGACAGTTATTTCAATGAGAAAAACCTGCAGAGCCCCTTCTACCATTGGAATTGAACTCAGGGACTATGTTCCCACCCACCCACATCTCCTTTTGAAAACAGGTTCACTAAATCCCTAAATTTCCCAGGCTGAGCTAAACTTGCAAAACTCCTGACTCAGCCTTCCAGAATGCTGAGATTACAGGTATACATCACTAGGTTCAGCCTGTACAGATTCTTGGAGGGAATAACTATTTGAAGAAAATGACTCTGGTGTGTAAGTTTTGCCTCTCTATATATTGTATCAAAGGTAAAAGAAATAATGTAACTGATTTCTTCATATTGTGAGAAGCAGAAATCACTTATGATCAGCCAAAAAAATTCAATGAGCAAACAATGAAGAAGATAATTTTTGAGCAAAGGAAAGGATAGAAAGAAAATGGTGAAGATCTCAATAGTGGTGGAGTGGGCCACAAAAGAAATGTGTTTGAATAAGAGACATTTAAGCAGATACATGAAAGACCAGATGGAGAGTGCCATGGTACCAGGGTATCTTTGGCAGGGGCCAGGAAGGATGTCAAGGCTATGGAACATCGGCTTCTCGTTCATTCCACCACTAGGTGGCATCTCTGGGTTAGAGTCAAAGAATCTCTTGGCCTATTCAAGGAACAGCAACTTTCCTGTAGAGAGACATTGTCTCTCTCTTTTTATTTAGATACTGATCTGATTAATTTTCCACGATTAATTGAAATATTTAGCTTTAATAATTAGGACTCGTACACCTACAATCCTCCCAAAATGGTATGACCTTGACAATAACCTCCTTTGTATCTATGTAGCTCCCCAATTCATTGTTGTCTTCCCCCAACTAAGGTAAACATCATCTTCAATTTTAAGCTCACCAATTTTGAGTTTCTTTTTTATATAATTTTATTGCTACTATATAAAATCCTAAATCATTCAGATTCTTTGTATTAGAAATATTTCATTTTATAAAAATGTGTTATGCTTTATATAATCTTTTGTTATGATGGATTTTTCCGCTTAATATTTATTCATATTGTTGAACATTGTTCTAGTTTACCCATTTTGACTTCTGTTGATGGAAATTCATTTTTGCTTCCAGTCTTCCCTGTTGTGAACAGGAGGCCACAGTCATTTTAGGGTTTTGTTGTTGTTTTGTTTTGTTGCGGTACTGGGATTGCACTCAGGATGTTGCACTTTCCAGGCAGGCTCTTATGCCATGGAGCTATCTTCCCAGCCTCAGTTTTGGTTTCTTGTAGAGTGTGTTACTTGGATATATTCCTAACAATAGACTCACTGTATTGCGGGATATGTGAATATTCACTCTAAGAGGCATGCCAAACTGTTTTCTAAATTGGTTACACTGACTTACATTCAACAGGAGAAAAGTATAATATGTGTCCATGTACTGATAAAATGTCTTCTCATCATGTTTTGATTTGTATATCCTCAATCACTAATGAATTTGAACATCATACATTTACTGTCTCTATCTTTTCTTCTCTGAAGTGATCTAATAGACCTACTTTTTCTAATGTAACCATATTACCGTTATGACACTAAACGTTAACAATAATCCCTGACACTCTACTAGATGTGTATTTACATTAAATATGCTTTCGCTTGGTTCATTTCTTCTTTCATTTATTAATTCAATGAACACTTATCCAGATGAGGGATGCAGAATTAGAATGAGAGTCTTAGACAGTTCATTGCTCTAAGAAGGAAAAAAATGATTTCAGACTATAAAAATCTGTCTTTCCATTTATCAAGATGTGAGAACCGACACAGAGAAAGCTAAATGTGAAATTAACATGAAACATATCCCTCAAGTACTTGCTGCAGTTGCAATACCCTAACTATTTTAAATGGCTTCTGCTCCAAGTTGGAGTCTTAATGGCAGCACATTAGTCATTGAGATACTTTATTCTCTATAATCATGGATAATTAGAAACTTTGATGTTTGAAATTATATCAGTATGAATGAAATACCTGATTCTTAGAGAAGATTCTATGTCACTGACACAAAAACAAAGTCTTGGTTTCCAGCCCAGGCACACAGCTCCAGTTAAGGAGTTTCTGGATACTGCATCTACAGCTATCTTAATTGTTTCCAAGGTAACAACACTCTAGGTTCACTTTGCCATCCAGGCTTCCTGATGATCTCTTCACACATAGCCCTACTTGGAGCTCCCTAAACACTGCTTCAATTACATTTCATTTGAATTCCACCTTTCTTCAGAATCCCTTAAGAATTCTATATTTTCCTTTATTTACTGAGCTGCCCCATGATTTCTCTGCTGTGTAGTCTCCCTTATTGATTGATGAATCCTTCCAACTAGAAATTAGTTTCAGATGGCCATAGGCTGACTGGACCATGACACCTCTTACATTCCAGATTGTTAAAGTGAGGCCCCCAGCAAGTTCACACTTTGACTGATACTAGGTCCCTTGAAAATACTTTTTGTTTCCTTGAGGATTCGAGAGGCTTTCAGTGGGGACAGAGCCTTCCACTCTAAGGAGTTCGGGCATGCGAGATTGGAGACTTTTGAACTTGGTTTTGAAGAATGAATAGGCATAACCAAATGAAAGGCAGCACAACTACCTTTCCTTTCTGCTCAGGTGATAGTTCCCGAAAGGATAGGGGTGCCTCCATAATGCCACGTTAGAGGTGAAAGGGGCAGCAAATCGGTTCAAAGGCAAAATCAGAATCTTGCATTAAAGCTGTATTGGAAAAAAAAAAAGCTATTTTGGCAATAAATGGCATGTCACTATGTAGATTTTTCTTTATGAGGAAATAAAAACAGCAAGTTCCCTAAAGATATTTTTATTGATAATGCAATGGACTAAGGACACGTCCTTTTTTATTAGCACATATTTTAATTTTAGTTGGGGAAGATGGAGTGGGAAATACGGAAGATTACGGGAGCATTCAACCCCCACAGCCAAACCCCATTGGCACGACAGGGTAGAGAATCTGACACTGACTTCTTCCCTTTCCCCACTCGGTGATATCGGAGGGCTAACTTCTCCCCCCTTTTCCCTCATGGTTTGTTCCAGCCTAATCTCTCCCTCCTTCTTTTCATCTAGTAGTATGAACCAGAGACAGCGGCTGGCGCCCTTCTGACTTTCTAAGCGCCCCTCAGCTTCTCGGAATGGTATGCCCAGCTTGTAGAATATAGGTTTAAAGAAACTGCTCCTCCAGTAAGCGTGTTCACAGAACTGTCGCTGCTCCTGCCCCCAGCCGCCAGTGGGGCAGCCTCTACACCCCTGCCCTGTCGGTTTAGAGGCATCCTCATTCTCAGTACGGAATGAACACTCCTCCAACATGGCGTATCCCATTGAAAAGCGCAACCTAGGTGCGGCCATGTTCCTCGCCTAACAACACTTCTGTGGGCATCGAATGCCCTAAAGCATCGACTGTGTAACAACTGGTTGACTGCTGAAAGGGGCCGCGAAGGTGATTTGCGCGTGCGCACACACCCTTGCCACACTGAGGTCAAGCCCCAAACCCAAGAAGGGGCGGTGCTAGGGTGGTGACCGGAAGCGGCTGAGGTTCCCAGCGGCGGTTTATTAGTTGTCCCGCGGATTCAATTCGCTGCTGGAGAGATGTGGATGTGATGGGCGACCAGGGTGGGTGAGTGCTGGGGAATCTGTGGTCAGCAATGGAATCATTTGTCTCACTTGAGTTAATGATTTGCTCATTATTTTGCAGGCTTTTCTTTTTGCTGATATCAAGGTTAAGGTTTTAAAGTTTACGTTAAGACCCGCTGGTTTTGGTTCATTATGTTTTAAGTGCTCTTTAGGTGTTAGTAATTTGTTTTTTACGAAGGAGTTATTTAGAAGTGTATTTTCAATTCCCCGAAGTTTATCTTTTTAACGAATTTCTAAGCTCAGTTTTCTAGGTCAGAAAAATGTCTACGTGAAGCTTATTTTTCAAATACGAGGAGACTTATGGCCTAGTCCTTGTGAATTATTTAGGTGTCAGTTATATCATACAAAATTTGTCTTTTTATGTGTGCTTCTTCTATTACTGAGAAAGGAGAGGTGATGGTTTGTTCATCATCCACCGCGATGATTTGTTCATTTATCCTTGTTGCTGTCAATAATACATTACGAATTAATTTTGGCATAGTGTAAAATTCAGCTTGAGGCACATTTATTCGCTTATGAATGGTGCAATTACTGAAGTACCATTTGTTGGAAAGATTATCCTACATCTATTGACTTGTTTTACGCCTTTGTCAAAAATAAGTTGACCATAATTGTGCGAGACCTCTTTTTGGGTTGTCTATTCTACAGCCCCATTGATCTATGTGTCTGTCTTTCTGGCAGGAGTCCCATACTGTTTTGATTACCGTACATGTGAAGCAAGTCTTGAAATTGGGTAGTGATTACTTCCACTTTGCTCTTTTTAAACATTATTTAGCTCTTTTAGTTCCTTTGCTTTTTCATATGCATCTCACAATAATCTTGTCTGCACCTACAAAACGTTTTGCAGGAATTTTGGTAGGAATAAGGTTGAACCTGCATATCACCTTGAAAGGAATTTACATCTTAAGTAAGTGAAGTCTTTGATCCATTTTCATAGTATATCTCTGTTTACATCGTCCGTGAGTTATTTAAGAGTATATTGAAGTTTTCAGCATATGAGTAGTGTAGATGTTTTATCAACTAAGTAGTTACATATGGCATTTTCTTCTAAATTTTGGTGTCCACATATTTGCTGCTTATTTGGAAGTACAATTGAATTTCATATGTTGATCTTGTATCCTGCAGTTTTGCTGAACTCAATTTTAATTTTACATCTTTTTGGTAGATTCTTCTTTGAAAATAAGCAATCATGTCATATACAAAGAGGGATAGTTTTATTTCTTCCTGTCTTTTTCCATGCTTTATTACATTGCCTAGAAATTCCAGTGTAGATTGAGTAATCCTTATCCCAAATGCTTGTATTCAGAACTGTTTCCAGGTTTTGGATTTATTTAAATTTTGGAATATTTCCATATTCAAAAAGATATTTTGGGGATTAGATCCAAATCGAAACACAAAATTGGTGTTGTATATACATTTTTTTAAAACATTTTTTTCAGTACTGGAAATTGACCTAGGGCCTGGCCTCACCTTGCCTTGCCTTGGACATGCTAGGCAAGTGTCCTACTCCTGTCACATCCCAACCCTTTTTTATATTTTATTTTTAGGCAAGTTCTCTAAGTTTTCCAGGATGGCTTCAAGCTTGTTATCCTTCTGTCTCAGCCTCCCTATAGTAGCTTGAATTCCAGATATATGCCTATGTGCTGAGCTCATATACACCTTATACACATGACCTTGATATAATTTCAAAGAACATTTTCATTGATTTTTTCTGTATTATTTTTCTGTTTCTCATTTCATTGATTTCTGTTTTTTATTACTTTTTCTGTTTGCTTTGGGTTTACTTTGCTCTTATTTTCCTGGTTTCTTGAGGTTGGATCTTAGATAATTGATTTAAGACCGTTCTTCTTTTATAATGTAAATATGCAGTGCTTTCTTCAGGTAGAATGCTGATCTATCTGAATTTAACAAATTGTAGTATATTTTATTTTTGTTTTCATTTGTTGTTTTGAATTTTTATCAACACTTGTTTGATCCATGGATTAGATAGAAATATATTAATTTCCAGTGTTTGGAGATTTTGTCTCTTCAGTATTGATTTCTAGTTTATAATAATTACTATTGTAGCAAATATACCATATAATCAATTTTGGGGTTATTTTATAACACCATCTTAGAACATTTTCCAGTATGGTCTGTCTTAAAGAAAGTTCAACAAATACTTTCAAAGAGTGTACATTCCATGGGTGTTTCTTTGTAGTAGGCTGGATATTTTTGAAAAGGTTTTTCTGTTCAGTAAAACAGAAAACATAATCAGTAGGGTGCTTTGATTTCAGTTCTGGTGCTTTGATTAAGAAGAGTGTCTTTTCTTGAAGGTTTTTTTTTTGATTGCCTATTGGTTCTGAATTGTATGCTTCTCCAATACATTTTGTTGATATATGGAAAGAAAAAGGAAATTCATCACTGTGTTCTCCAGGTCCTGAGGTCTAAGCTATCTACCTTTGCTTTCTACCTTTTAGAGTCTTCCTGCTTATGTTTATTTTGCTATATTAACTTTTTCTTGTCTCTTGTATATGCATTGGTGTCTTCTCCCTTCCTTTTTTCTTTTATCAACTTTATTAATTACATTGATAGGGAAGCATCAATATTAAAATATGTTGGCATGTGTTGTGCATAATGTTACACAGTAACTGCTTTAAACACTTACCTAGCTGGAAAAAATTTTGCCTTTCTAATTTCAATCGTTTACTTCTTTATCTGATTTGCCAAGGGATTATCTATGACATCAGTCATTTTTAGCTTTTTGTTTTCTTTAAACCCCATATTGTTACATTTAGTTCATTTTTTAATATTTTTATCCATTGTACTTTCTGGGCTTTGTTTTTGTTCAATTTTTTTCCTACTGATTACGTTTTAGGGTAAACACATAATTCATTTTTGTATTTATTTTTAATTAAAATAGAGCCATTTGAAGCCATAAATTTCTTTTTTTTCCATAATTTTATTGAGGAACAAATAGTAATGAGACAGTTTCAAACCAAATTGATAGGACAGATTCAATAATTAACATATTGCATACAATCTTCCTGGTGGTTAATTGCTGTACAAGATGCGGACATGATATCCAATTTACAAACACTATTAGAACAAATCCCTCTATTCATTAAGAGAATGTAACTATATATCTATCCTAACCATTTTGAATGCACAGATACAAAATGGACATTCATCTGTATCCTCTTTTTTTTTGTTAAGTTCCATTATTTGAATATTATAGGTGTGTTAACTCAGCAAAATATTCTAAGAGTCCATTAGTCCATAATAGTATTGGGTCTTCTGCCTCACTGACAATGTCAGAAATTGTTGACCTGAGTACCCTACAGCTCAGCATAACATCATGAAGCCATAAATTTCAATGTAAATAGAACTTTGTATTCTATAACTTCTGGTAAAATTTTAGAGCTTCTATATTGATTTTCCACATTGCTACTATATTTCTGTCTCTGTGCATATGCCTTCTCTGGACATTTGAATCATAAAATATGTGGTCTTTTACGACCAATTTCTTTCACTTAGGATAACAATTTCAAGGTTTGTCCGTTTTGTAGAAGGTACTAGAACTTTTTTTGACACAGGGTATATATATAACCCAGGCTGGCCTCACACTCATCGCGATCCTCCTGCCTCAACCTCCCAAGTGCTACGATTATAAGTGTGTGCCACCATACCAGACTGAGTTTCTTTTTTGTTGCTAAGTAATATTCTGTTCTATGGATGTATAATTTTTTTCTATCCAGTTGGTGGACAGTTAGATCATTTTCACTCTTTGATTACTATGAATAGTGTTATTGTGAATATCTGTGTACAAATTTTGGAGAGGACATTTGTTTTCATTTCTTTTGGGTAGGTATTATAACTAGAGTAGAACTCCTTGGTTATATAGTAACGTATGGTTATCATTTAGGGGACCTGCCAAACGTTTTTCATAACCTCGCTAGTAACGTATGAGAGAGCCAATTTGTTCACATCTCACCAACATTTACTGTCTCTAAAATTTATTTTAGCCATTCTAATGGATGAGTAGTGCTATGCTAACAAATTGGAGATTTTGGTTTTGATTTACTTTCTCTAATGATTAATGATACTGAGCATTTTATGCCATGAACAGAGACTATATATACCCTGTCAATTCCCAACATTAAAATATTTATCACAGTTGGATGCAGTGGCACTGTCCTGAAACCCCAGCTACTTATGAGGCTGAAGCCAGGAGATCACAAGCCTAAGTTTAGCCTAGGCAGCTATAGAAACCCTGTTTCAAAATAGAAAAGACTGGGGATGTAGCTCAGTGGTAGAACAACACTCTTTTCAATTCCAGTACTGCAAAGAAGAATGGCTGTTATCAAGAAATCAATCAGTAACAAGTACTGGAGAGGATGTAGGGAAAAAGGAAACCTCCACTGTTGATGCGATGTAGACTGGTGCAACCACTGTGGCATCAGTATGGAGATTCCTCAAAAAAACCAGAATTGGGCTGGGGAAGATAGCTCAGCTGTCCATGCACCTGCCTGGCAAGTGCAAGGACCCAAGTTTGATCCCTGGTATCACATGTGCCAGCCCAGGAGGCCCAGGCACATTGTGCCAGCCCTGAAACTAGGTATGGTGGTGCATACCTGTAATCCCAGCACTGGGGAGACTGAGGCAGGAGGATCAGTTTCTAGTCTGTAGGGAGATCCTATATCAAATAAATATATTTTTTAATAATTTTATTGAGAAACAAATACCAATGAGGTAGTTTCAAAACAGATTGCTAGTACATTTTCAATAATTAATACATTGCATATTGTTGTCTTAGTGGTTATTCATTGTACAAGATGCAGACATGATTTCTTGTCTCAAACACTATTAGAACAAACTTCTGTATTCACTGAGTTAAGAGGATGTAGCTGTACATCTATTCTATTTTGAGTATACAGATACAAAATGGTCATTCATTTGTATCCCATTTTTTTGGTTAGTTTTGTCAAAGAAGGGCATTCCATT